ATAATCTTTGTCAAAAAAAATATAGAAGGAGTAGTAAGTCTTTTTGGCTATAATATTTTCCATCTCTCTGTGCAGGTGGGGAAATGGCAAAAGTTGAGTGCCAAGCAACGCCCCGATGGGCAATTGCAATGTTTTATTACGTAGCCCCTTGTGTGTAAATAATTTTGCGAGTGCACACATCCCTGCTAGCAACCATATTATTCATCATTCAATTATGCTAATCATTTAGGAACTTTCATTCTTTTACTATTGCTTTTTTTGATAAATGGATTTTCTCAATGTGACTATTGAAATCTATGGTCCTGAATGTTGTAGTCATTTAATTTTTGGATGAATTGCCATGGAAAGAAAGTAAGATTCATTAAAACATGACATTTTCCTTGTGATAGGTCCCATCCTAGTTTTGCAACGGTTGATTAGATTGTTATACCACAACACAATTGAGATGAGTGGCTTAGAAGGAAAGCGTTTCATAGAATGAGAAATGAGTGTGTTCACAATGATGCTCTAGATATTTATTGTAGCTTTAAGAAAAGGAAAATGTTTTGATAAGGCTGCTGCCCTATCAAGATAAATAAATCCTTATCTTAAAATTCACCAAAAATTGCAGTTTTGTTATTGGAAAACATTCAAGTGGTTATTTCGGCCTTGACAATTACCGTTGTGAACAAAAAATATTGGGATTTCAAGCTCTAAAGATAACATATATTGTTACCCATTATCCATATTGTCCATTTTGCCCCAAAGAGAAGTATTCACATATACACAAAATTTGTAATATTTTTTTAGCTTCAAATTTCATAGTCAGTAGTGAAAATTGATTTTAGAGGCATCATAGATTCCGATACCCAAATTCTTTTTAGATAAGGTTCCACTTTGCTTTTACCATTTTATTTTTTTGAATTTTTCTAAAATACTTACCCTAAGTTGTATACACGACATGGGTTGCTTGCGTATGAGTTGAGCCGTTACCTAAATAATTTAAGTAACTTCATAAATTTTCCTGCAGAAAATAAAGTAATCAATCTAGCATAAATACCCGAAAGCAAACAAGTTCATTAAAGAATGAGCACGATCCATGGCAGTAATACAAGTTCATCTGTAATGGAGTGGGTTGAACTGATGGGTAAAAGCAAGTGAACCTAATACAAGTTCATTAAAAGCTAACAGACTTTTAAAGACAGGTGATGAAATCAAAAGGCCATCCACAACGGGGCTTGTGCATTCCTGATCATATCAAAGTCCATGAAATCAGAAGGCCAATCCTCCAAGCGATATTGATATGACAAATATCAAACTTTCTAAATATATAAATCTATATATAACTTACTCGGATCTGTCTAAATCACACGAGGTGCTTAAGGTTTGCTGGAGATTCTAATACTCGAATCCCTAATTTAATTGATCACCGAATATTACATACACAATACTGAATACGTAAAATCGATAATCCTATAATAAGCTCAAGGATCGTATGCTACAATTTAAGAAAATAAATTAGAGATGGAAAACATACTCATGAGAGAAAATTAGATACAGAAACCATAACACAAATTTAACGTGGTTCACCCCGTAGGCCTACGTCCACGAGCAAGTCGGCAAGTATTCCACTATCAAAAGAAAAGTTTACAACGGGATACAATGTTACCACAAATGAAAAAGTTGGTGAAAAACATTATCAGAAATACCTTCTTGGTATCACCCAAAAAACACGATTTACTCCGCTTCACTTTAGATGATCATCTTGTGGTTGCTTAATTTTTCCCCAAGTATCACTGTTGCTATGTCACCTAGATATTATCGATGTGCCTAAATTAAGTTACTAATGCTTTGCATTTCTTTTTTTGGTGAAGTGTGAGCCTTAAGTGTTATATATGGAGAAATGCATGTCTAGTCATTAAAGCACACGAATACATAAAATTCCAATTTAAAATCTTGGGGAAACAAGCACATACAGTATTTTAAAAATCTAAGGTAGTGAAATAAAGGGTGATGACATTGTTATATAAATATAATTAGAAATAATAAAAATTCAAAAACAGAAAGTTCAGGCAATTCTGATTAAGTGATTCCTGGTTCTCTAGAATTAGATGGCCGCAAAATCCTAGGTCACTCTCGTACTCCAAACATGCACCCACAATACTTTCCATGTTATATGATATACCAATTTCTTTTTGCTTTTTCTTTTAACATCTTTACATAGCACAAATGGAATCCTTGACATCACATTGTGACTGGAGGGGCCTAGGCCAAGGGCCTAGTCCTAGCGATCTTCTCTCCTTTTCTCTCTCTCTCTTTCTCTCTCTTTTTAGGCCCCACAATGCTTTCCCCCAGGGTTTTAGAAAATAGATCAGTGACCCAGATTGTCTATCCAAAAAACTGGACGGGATCGGTAGATCAGTGGTCCGAATCGAACAATTGGTTTTATCTGTTGGATCTAGCCTTAAAAATTTTTAAATATAACAAAATCTCCATATTATCATCCTCTTCATCAATGCATTTTCCTAACTAAACTAAAAACCCCTATAAATTGGGTGCAGCACATTATGTACTTTCATTGTTTTGCATAAATGCCTGAAAATTGAGACGTTGTTTCTTGTCAGAATGTCTATTAATATTAATTTTGATAAAAATTTTGTTTACGACTTTTGATTAGTACTAATGCCTATGTCATGTTTTTTTTCTTTTAACAAAATAAAATAAAATAAAAGAACCTCAAAGGGAGAGTGAGTGGAGAGGGAATTATGACTAAAGTAATGTAATAGGAAATGACAAGCAATAAGAGAGACATAGAAAAACGCAAAATGATAGGCAAAGAAGCAAAATGTTGAGAGAGAGAGAGAGAGAGATTTAGAAAAGTTTCACCCTTGTGCATTAAAATATTAGTTACCTACGTGAAAGACCATTAAGATGACACACTTATCTCAATTTAATAAAAATTTTCTCATGCAATTATATTTTCTTAATAAAATAAGTTTAAGTGAAACGAAAAATTTAAACTTAAAAATATTTTAAAAGTTATATATTTAAAAACTAAATAAATAAATTCTTACTAAATTGAAAAGAATGAAATCTCTCTTCTCCTTAATAAAAATAGGTATTCATGTTCGAAAGTAGAAAATGGTTGATGGGAAATAAAACTAAGTGAGAAATAAAATTTCTTAAATCACAAAAATCATTTTCTCTATCTTTTCTTCACTAAAAGATACAAAATTAGCATAAAAAATTGTAAAAATATAATATAAAAATTAGTATCAAATTAATATTAATAGACACTCTAATTAGAAACAACATCTTAATTTTTCTGGTATTTATGCAAAATAATGAAAATACATAATGCACTACTCCCATGTTTTGAAAACTCAAAAAACAATATTTATAAGGATTTTTACTGATTTCTAAACACTTTTATGGCCGAATCCGGTTGATCCAACCAATTCTCAAATCTAGACTGGTTTTCTACCCATCCCACCTAATTTTTTGGAAGCACAATCTGGGTCGCCAGTTTGTTTTTTAAAAGCTTGCGGTGGAGAGCGATGAGAAAGAGGAGACAATTAGCTGTATCTTATAAGGACTGGGCCCTTTGCCTAGGCATGTCAAGACACAATATGATATCAAGAGTTCTATTTCTACTATGTTAAGATGTCGAAAACAGAAAAAGATGTGGGTGTATCATATAAAAAGGAAATTATTTTGAATGCATATTTGGAGTATGAGAGAGACCTTGGGTTTTGGGGGTGATCCAGTTCCTAGGAACCGTGTGCGTTTATCCACTCATAAGCTTGAGAATCAACTTCCCGTATTCTTGACATCTCTTCCTTGAACTCTTCTACCCTTATTGCATTGGCTGTCTTCCATACTCTTCCTCGAACTCTTCTAAGTAATGTTCTAAAATCGCCTCTGGAAGTTCTCTGCTAAATGACGCATGCAAAACACTGGATAATAGTTCGAGAAGATATATTATAGTGGTTGTAATGACCCTTTCTGTCAGTCCAAACAATCGTCAAACGACGCAAGTCTTGCTGTGTATTGGGCAACTCCTTCAGGCAACTAAAAAACTATATCAAAGTATGTTTGCCCTCATTCTCTACTATAGTGAATGCTATCGGGAACATGCTACCATTAGCATCTGCGCTAATAACACTCGATATAATCCCCATGTACGTTCTCTTAAGAAATATCTCATCCAAACCAATGAGAGGCCTACAACCATACAAAAATCTGTTGAGGAAAGGATGACAACACAAGAATATATGTTGGAATCTATAGTCAAGTTCTTTAGGTATATATCCTAAAGTTTGGGATTTGATGACTCGTAGGGATAGCTCTATATATGACTAGTCATGTGACCCCAAAATCACTTATGTCACAACAACATCACACCATGTGCGCATTGAACATCATTCTTAATATCTTTGGGTCTCAAAGTTATTTGGTCTGTCAAACGGGATTTAAATTTCCTCATTTCCTACTGGCTTTATTTTAACTGCCGGTGAGTCCTTCCTGTTTGATCCATACAAGTGTGGTTATTTAACAACTCATTCACCTTAAAATAATTTGTGATGGAACACTAGAGCATCGCACTATCCTGTTGTACCCCTCCCCAGTTGATTGCAACTAAAAGATCTCGGTCGCTCTTCAGGTACTTCATGAAAAATAATTTATATATCTAATAATCTGCTAAATGATTAAGGTGTAGCCTGAGATCCTCAAATTCTTGTCATATATAAAGATGAATATGTGAGTAGACTGAACTGCATGGAGAATCTGATAGATGCATATCATTGGGATCAAGCAGGATGTGTCTCGCACTTTCGGAGTCCACATCACATGTATGAACTACATTTTGGATGATGGGGAAGGGCACTGGTTGAATGGGGCGGTTGAAAAGGATTCAATAAGTATTATTTATAAATGTTGAAATACACGATAAACATATATGTCATAAGTATTACTTGATCCATGTTGATGGTCCTCATGATGGAGCTACACCCGCTATATTTGTTTGATGTTCCCTATTTATTACTTCGAATGGTTAATTCGCAATACATACATGACCATTGGAAGCCACCAACAACATACATGTCACATCTGCATCTTCATTTACTTCTACTAAAATATCACTTTCTAGATATATAATCATCAAATAGCTAGGGTCACAATGCGCAATAGACCCCATGTGCGTCTTTAACTGGTCCAATGAGTCACTCCCATTAAACAAAGCAGCTTTCACATTCTCGCCCTTGTAGTACATTCGTCCATCATTTAGCCTTCTCTGAAAGGAACCACCATAATAACATAACAACCTCACTCTACTTGTGGCCATTATGATGACTCAAATGACAGCCATGTACAGTCAATGGAAGATAGCCATAGTCAAAGACGCCCTAAAGCCAAAATACTGATAAAAAAACCTGCACAAATTGCATAGAGCACCCAAAATATTCATTAAAATTAATTGCTAAAAGGAATGTCACCCATTTCACAAGGTACTAAATAAACGACAAGGACTAAAAATGTTCACAAGGTGTTGAATAACCCAGTGAGCCACTGATCAATATTACAATTTTCAATGATTCCATACATAGAGCACCCAAATGTCAATAAACCTAAAAAACATCACGACATTCATTCAATATCTTCATAAAACATGAAATGTGCATCCAAATACCATAAGCCAAAATTAAATATAGAAAATTTTAGCATCACTCGGTTCTTATAATGCATATGAAACATAAAGATATTGATTCAATCGATTTGATAAAACATAAAATGTGCATCTAGATATAAGAATCAACATAAATTATAGTTACTTATGTTTAATACAATATACTAATGATAAATGTAGCAATTTCATAATAAATAAAAATATTAAGCAAACACAGACAGGAACCCCTTAGAGGTCTAGTGTTCCAATAGTTACAGAAATCGACACATGAAATTTAAATTCATTTTGTGTACATCAAAAATCTGTTTCGTCCAACTTCAATATCTTTGCGATGACCAAATACGAAACCGTAGTAGAAAACTCTAGAAATTTAGGGCAAATCAAAAAGCAAGGTTCAAATTGATAAGAGGGTAAGAGAGAGTGAACCGAGAGCAGATGCCAGTAAAGAGAGATAAAAAGCGAGCGAGAAGATAGAGCGTGAGTAGATAGAGATAGAGTAGAGAGAGATAGAGTAAAGAGAGATAAAATAATCATGCTACAGAGACAGAGAGAGCAAAAAACGAGAAATAGAGAAAGCTAGGGATTCATGGGTGTAACTCAAGCATTCCGATGTTGTAAACATCGAACCGATGGTAAAAAAGTAAAAAATATAAAAAAGAAAAGAAAAACACAAAAGAAAAACACTTGAGTGTTATAATGTATGGGGCTTTACAACATCATACTATTGGCAAACCTGAAAAAAAATAAAAATTTTAGGATCCGTCCTTTCAAGTAATAACGGCCGACTTTTGCATTAAATCTTAATAATAAACACAGTCCGTACGTAAATTTCCCCAAAATAAAGTGTGTAAAAAATCCTTTGACCAAACAAAAGGACGTAGTTTCTATGCGGCCGAGGCCACATATGTAGAAATGTGTTCCCCTGAATAAATATATTTTTTAGATGAATTTTAAGACTTAATTTTTAAGGATATGTAATATCTAACATGGAGATCATGAATATGAACAAATAAATAAATTTAAAAGACTAGAAATAATAATTCTAGTAAGAAAACATTTGGACTGTTAGTTTCTAATTTTTTTAGATGGAGCACCTACTTGCATACATTTTTAAAATGACTGTTCTACACTCTATCGACTGCATATGTAGAGATGCGTTCCAACCCACATGAAACAATTTTCCTTCCTTTAACCAAAGAAAATCTACTTGCCCAGTCCTACTCTTTATTAGTAATTCTATCATTTGTCACATGACGTGCATGTATTGGATGTAGATCTTCATTAGTAATTCAAGATTTTCATGTGTTCATAGATCTTCTTGATTTGAACTATTTTTTTCTCTAATTTTTTTTAATTAGAGATAAAAATGGAATCTCAAATCACCTGAAAAAAAAAATTACACCGAAATTACCTCTTATAATTCAATGTTTCAACCTTATTCAAACTACAGCCCTTGAGTAAATTCAAAACTCCAAAAATCTTCTATAAAAAAAGTAATCCATCAAGTAACTCTTTCTCCTCAGGAGTATTTTACTGCATGATCCAGCGGGAGCTTGGTGTAAGTGATTGTCACTGAATGCAGGAAAAATACCAGCCTCGAAATGACATCCCTGCTCAAACTTCTAATAAGATGCATTATTTAAAGAACAAAGTTTCAACATCACTGAGAAAGTAGCGAGATAGATAGATAGAGAGAAGTAGAGATAGTGAGAGAGATGGAGGAATATGGGCCTGTTCTTGCATAGTTCCTGATTCAGATAATGTGTGCTTTGATGTACCTTATCACTAAAGTTGAACTTTCTCAAGGCATGAGCACTCATGTCTTTGTAACATACAAAACATTTTCGCCAGTCTCCCTTTCTCCCTTGGCTTACTTCCTTGAGAGGTATCCTAATTATTCTCTCTCTTCGGAGGCATACCTAATGCTTTCTCTCTCTACCTCTCTATCTCTCTGTGTATCTCTCTCTAAAGTGAAATTTCAGTGGTAATTGCAGGAAGAGGCGGCATCCGTTGCGATTCAAGAAACCATGTCAGTTCTTCTTGGCTGCATTTTTAGGGAAAATTCAAGCATTTCTTCTTCATGTTTGCTGGTTTTCTTGTATAAGTTGTAGCGATCACGAGTGTATACACTATGGACGTGCAGGATCACCATATCACAAAACTGTTACTTCTCTGGGCTTTCTTACACCTCTTCCACCTTTGCTGCCAGAGTTTGTAATCTGATCCCTGTCATCACTTTTGTAATGCCCGACTTCCTCATGTAAAATGTTTAGAATCTCAAAATATATGCAAAGAACTCCCCATATATTGATTTATTGATTAAAGAATACACAAGACCTCTATAAATATACCGCTACTACAAATTCTGGATAGATACCAACTGTTCTTGATAATAGCACTTGTTAGGATTTTATAAACCTTTAGATATGGAAAAAAGAATCCCAAAATTGGATCTTACCAATATCGTGTATTTTTCCAGCTTGAAATAAAATAGCTGAGAGCACGAGCAAGAAATAAAACATAAAACACACACACCACAAGAGCACAAAGATTTACATGGTTCACCTCAAGAGGACTACGTCCATAGGCATGGCAAACTGAAATCCACTCTACCAATGAATGTTACATTACAGGTTTTGTGACATAAAGTTACCTCTATAATTCTCGACAAAACCCAGACAAGTAAACCGTTTTAGATCCATTTACCTCATCAGCACCATCGTCGACCTCTCATCAGCATTAAACCACTGTCCAGGAAGAGATCATCTATATTCCACAGCTAAACCACTATCCAAGAGGAGAACTTTGAGAGCAACTCTCTCATCTCTATTCCACAGCTAAACCACTGTCCATGAAGATACTATCTCCGTTCCATAGCTAAATCACTGTCCAGAAAGAAAACCTTGAGAGCAATCGAAGCATTCTCTTACTAAAAGGGAAAACTACCCAAAATCTTCATGAGAACTGCTTCCCTACAAGAAACGAGCCTCTCAATCTACAAGAGGCACAACGTGGAGTTTCTCTTTATAAGAAGCTCTCTTCTCTCTCAAGGGGACGTCTTGCGTCTCATGCATAGGAAGCCCCTACCTCTCTCTCTAGAGGAAACCACGTTTTCCATATGGTAACCAAATATGGCACACAATTCTCTACACTTTCATATCATATATATAAGGTTAGGAATCTACATGAAATAGGAAACTTCCTATATGTTACATATATCCCAAAAACCAAGAGATATACCCAAAGTCCTAATCCTTTTGGAATTTTATTTCCTATAGGAAACTTACCAATATCAATCTCAATCCCACATAATTTGGGATTTCATTATGTGGGTGAATTTGGATAATCATCAAATCCAACAATCTTCACCTTGATATCAAAATCACCTGCTTACCATGCCAACATCCATTGGATAGCTTTATCAATTCTTCATCTTTAGCTAAATAAATTATTTCATAATTCTTGGTAAAGAATTGCGCTTGCATCATATTTCTCTATCTCAAGTAAAATGCTCACATATTTTTTTATGTGCTTTTCTTCAACCGAATGCACAATCACTAGCCTTATACTAAACCATGCGCTCTGATACCACGTGTTAGAATCTCAAAATATTTGCAGAGAACTCTCCATAGATTAATTTATTGATTAAAGAATGCACAAGACCCGTATAAATATACGGCTAATAACAGTTCTGGATAGATACCAACAATTATTGATAATTACTAAATAGACACCTAATATTATCAAAATATATTCCCATACAGATACATAACCTGAGTTGCGTTCATCATTTGCTCAATTATCAACATTTTCAAAATTCATACATATTCCGAATCCTAG